AGGCCACACTGCCCAGCCCGGCCCCCGGAGAGCCCTGGGAAGCAGGCAGCCCCCACGCGGGGCCATCCCCGGCTTTCTTTTCGGCATGTCCAGTCTGTGGAGGACTCAAGGTAAACCCCCCTCCTTGAGAGCCACAGATCTGGCCTCGTGGCTGCAAAGGGGCTGAATGTGCCCCCAGACGGGAGAGGAGGTGGCGCTGGCCTCCTTGCTCTGTGTTCTGTGGGAGGGACTGGGGGGTGTCCCGGAGAGGGGAGTTGGAGGGGGCGTCCTGTGGCTGCCAGTGGAGGAAGGGGCTGATGGGGAGGTGAGTTCTGGGAGGCAGGGGCTCTGGGTCCAGCAGGTCGGGGTCACCAGAGCCCCAAGGCCCAGCTGCTTCACTCTGTGTCCCCCAACCCTGAGGATCAGGCGGGTGCTGCATCTCTGCTGGCTGGTGCCTCGCACTGGGGCGCCAAGGGCTGGAGGCCCCGCTGCTGGCCTTGTCCTCCTCGGGCCTCACGCCCGCTTCGTGGGTGGCCGGTTCTCCCCGCCACCTCTCTGGTGCAGTCACACCACCTGCTAAGCACCAAGCCACCACAGAGACCCCGGACACCCGGGCTCCGTGCGCGCTGGCCCTCGTCCCCTTCTATGGGAGAAACTGAAGCTCAGGAGGCTGCGTGACTTTCGGGGTCTCTGGGGTGTGGGCCCTACTGCTCCCCGATGAAGCCCTTGTGGGAAGGCTCTGGCAGCCCGCAGTGTCCTCGGAGCAGCCTCGCCTGCTGACCCCGCGGTGGGGGGCCGCGTGCCCCAGGTCCCTGGTGGGAGCCCCGCTGGCTCCCGTCTGCACCTCCTCGCGGGGCCAAACGCTGCCTTGGCATCTGGAGGCTCCGGGCCCTGCCTGTGTTTCCCCAGGCCCAGGGCTCAGCCCCGCTTGGTGCTCAGCAGCTCTGCATCGGAGGCGGGGCTGCATCTGGCCCATTGTCCACGCACTGGGTGGCTTCGTCTTGCACAGCCTGGAGCCGGCCCTGACCACGGTCCAGCAGCTCCCTGTGAACACCTCACTTTGTCCCTTTGCTGTCGGCCGTTTCTAAACCCGGACACTGTAATACATTCTTAGACTGGAAATAAAATGTTCTTTTCTTACCACCTTGTCCTCCTCCGTTGCCCAGCCACCTTACCTGCCCTCCACGCGGGGCCTCTGCCTGGATCCCAAGTCCCCGGGCCGGCCTCCTTGGCCTTTGTTTCAGAGAGTGCGAGAGGCCTCATCCGTCTTGTCAGCCTTGGGCCTGAACGCTGTGGTGTGTGGAGAGGCGGCTCCGGGCAGCCCTCGGGCTGGGATGTGCACGTGTGGTGTGTGGGGTATGTGTGGTGTGTGTGTGCACATGTGGCACATTCCTGGGTGTGTCCTGGAGACCACAGTGGGGTCTGCAGTACTCCCTCAGGCTCAGGCATGGGGCTCCTCAGGTCCGGGTGAGGGTGGACCCTCCAACCCCAGGCCAGGAGGGGCTGGCTCTGAGCCCGGGGTCCCTGCCCTGCCTGTCTCCCTGATATGGGGCTGAGTTCCAGGCTTGTCTCAGTCACCCCTGCACATCCTGTGGGGGTGCCTGCCTGCCACCCTGTTGGGGACCGACTCTGACAGGGGAGTCCTGGAGGGGTTTCTGCAGCGGTGCCTGGTCTCTGAGCCTCAGTTTCCTCTTGTAAATGGGATGACAGACCTCGCCTCGCTGGGCTGCACTGAGGGTGTGATGAGGTTATTCTTCAGGTACTCAGTAGCTGCCCGTCACCATCGCCCTCGCTGCTGGCACCTCCGGAGTTGGCCGCGCCAGTCTTGTTGCAGGACGAGTGAGGCTGTGGCTCCTCTGCTGGGAACCCGGACCCTCTCGGCAGAGTCCTCGTCATCCACACTCAGCCCTGTGTGTTCCCACCGTCGTCTGCCCAAGGCTGGGGGGGCAAGGTCCCTCTGGCGAGAGCAGACTGGGGCACCCCAGGGTGGCCTGGGGGTGGTGTGGGGTCGTGGAGCCTCTTGCTGGCGGGGCTGGGTCCCTGGATAGCCTTTCCCTGTGGGGATGCGGCCGGGCCGTCTGCCGCTCCCCACTATGCTTGTGAGTGGCCTCGCTCCGGGTGTCTGAAGGTTCCGGCCACCGACCCCGCGGTGGGGGGCCGCGTGCCCCAGGTCCCTGGTGGGAGCCCCGCTGGCTCCCGTCTGCACCTCCTCGCGGGGCCAAACGCTGCCTTGGCATCTGGAGGCTCCGGGCCCTGCCTGTGTTTCCCCAGGCCCAGGGCTCAGCCCCGCTTGGTGCTCAGCAGCTCTGCATCGGAGGCGGGGCTGCATCTGGCCCATTGTCCACGCACTGGGTGGCTTCGTCTTGCACAGCCTGGAGCCGGCCCTGACCACGGTCCAGCAGCTCCCTGTGAACACCTCACTTTGTCCCTTTGCTGTCGGCCGTTTCTAAACCCGGACACTGTAATACATTCTTAGACTGGAAATAAAATGTTCTTTTCTTACCACCTTGTCCTCCTCCGTTGCCCAGCCACCT